TAACATAGAAAACAGATAGGATGGCAGTAGCATTTCCTTAGTCAGTACGACTGAATAAAGGGAAAACATCATAACTAAATTTAACTGTTTTGCTAACATGCATTTATTTTCTCCCTCTGTCTTTAATCCTCATGTTTTCAATCCTCGCTAGAGAGAGATGGCTTCAGGAGAATGGGATAGATCCTGTTTATTTCTTGTCCTTTGTCAGCAAAATAGAAACAACCTTGTAGTTGCAGAATCTCTATAACCTGTGGCGAAAAGAAGTCCTTCTATCTAGTAAGTTCTGTCTAATCCCAGGGGAAATTTGCAGGGCCAGCTATTTATCCCACTCGCGAATGGAGCAAGTTTGATGCAGCGTTCAGTAAATGTGGCCTCTACGCTTTCAAAGGGAGTAAAGACTTTAATTCCTACTCCTATAGGCTAGAGGGAAGAAATGTGTTTTAAGCCACCTTCTAAGGGAGAAACTCAGTGCTGCGCGAGGGATGTGCCTTGACTGAAAAATTGAATTGCCGCTGGTAACAGTTTGCTTTCTGCTCTTGAAAAATTCTGTCTTCCAGGCCTGCAATTATGTATCTTTTATTTATAAAACCTCTCCTACAAGAGCACTTATGGTAGTGAAAACTAGCTGGGAAATAATTTCCCATTAATTAAGCTCCTACATATCACGTGATTCTATTACCTGTATACTCATCCGTTGTATGTACTGGCAGTGGCATCTTGTATGGTATGTTAAACCCACTCATAGATCATTCATTCCAACTGCACCAGTAAAGAATAGAGAGCCAGAATAATAATGACAGAGTTTCAGCAGAGTCACGGTTTGCCAAATGATTCATCTGACAAACTGAGCCATGTGAATTGGCACTGTTTTGTTTCTGCAGGGACCAAAAGTTTTCCTGAGCTATCGGCTGATGATCGCGTGACTGATGCACCGCTTTTACAGGGGTAAAGGGGGTGCCTTTATTTGACCAGGTTGTGGAGAAAAGAACATTCCTGCCTTCTGAGGGGACAGAGGGCTAAGATGAATGAGAGGGACCCTGTGTACACGATCTATCTGCCCGTTTCAGCTGAGTGTCCTAACTGTCAGCCGTTAGGAAGAGCCGAATTCGGCAGCCTGGCAGAGGTGAGGCTGAGCCCCTTTCCAGACCTCCTCGCACAGAGAAGCAGCTGGCAGCACGGACACATGGACCTTGTGACCTGTAGTCCCACTTCAGTTGCTGGTGCTTAGACCCCCGTACGCATGCATGCACACAGAATGAACTCCCTCACCCAGAAAGAGAGTTAGAAAGGAATTTAGTAGGAAGATAGGACTGTGCTGGTCGGGTGTGGGGCATGGCCAGACAAGCATAGCGACCAGCAGCCTGCTTACATGGCTGGTGCTTTTGTCCCTTCATCCCATGTTTGTTCCTCCCCAAATCACCCGCATCCCTCCGTTTCCTTGCCTTTGTCCTCCCCTAATCATCCCCTAACTCTTTTGCAATCCTGAAATGTTCTTCCCCTGCATCCCATTATGTGTGCTGTACCCCTAAGCAGTCTGAAGGGTGATCCTGAGAGCCGTCTTGACGGCTTTCACATCTGGACCATGAGGCAGATGCTATCCCGGGACAGCCTTGGCAGGAGCCCTGTCAGGGTGCCTCTTCCTGGAGTCTGCCATTTGGGTCTCCCGCCTGCTTCTGTGCTTCTGTGCTCCTTGGGACGTGTGGAGATGAGCCTTGGATGGACTGATGGATGTTCTTCCGTCTTTTAAAAATGAATGCGTGACCTCTTCTTGAGTCTCATTCAAAATGATGTCCCCCTCGAGGATGTACTGGCATGGTATTTTGCAGGCAAGTATGAATTAGCTTCGCCTCCGCCATCAGCAGAGCTTGTATGTTTGGGGTCAGAACTGCACTAGGCATATTCACAACTGCCAGTCGTCTTATAACTTGCTCACAGCTGTTGTCTGCTCAAGCAGAACAAACTTGCATCTGTCCTGGGAGAAATCTGGATGGTATCTGTAATTCTAGGGGATGGTTTCGGGCTACAATTCCTTACCAGACTGAAATGTCTCCTTACAGCCCCCTAAAAGCAGAGAAACCCAGCATTTTGCACGCTCTCTTCTTCCTTTAGCGATTGTGTATCTGAGCTACGTGCTGGCTGTTGGAAATTCTGTTCTAAGCCATCTCACCTTGCCCATGGTTTTTATAAGGCACTTTGGGGATGGACCTTGGACTCTGGATTCTGCCTCCGAGCTCAGATGCCTGAAAGTCGGGCGGCGTCTTGCTTAGCACCCTAACCTGCAGATACGCTGGCAGAGTCAACCCTGAACGTCTGTCTGAAGATCACAGGGAATTAATCATGAAATTGCATTAAGGCTCCTAATTCTTCACATGCAGCTCTGAGCCCTTCTCATTTCCTGTCTATGTGGAATTTAGGAGACTTGAGGTTTAGTTATTTATTTTTTTTTAACAGGAAATATATTTGGTTATCTTTAACTGAGACTGCATTAGCTTCTAGTGATAGTACTGCTCTGATGTTGCTTGTAAATGATGGGTTTGGTAGCACATGCATTTATGGTTAAGATCCTTTTTGTGCTTGTGAAATCCTCAGTTTTTCTTTAAATGCCAAGCCTGTAAACTCAATAGGGAACTCTAAACATTAAGCTGGTGAAATAATAATTGGCAATACATATGGATAGCATCCTTCGTGCTATCGAAGGGCCAGAACAGAATCTATCTTGCTGTCAATACAACTTCAACAGGAATTGTATGGGTGGATCAGAGCACTTATCCTAGCCATTATGCAGCAGTGGCATAAGTTAATGGAACAGATTGTCAGGGGGACTGTAGGAAGTAATTGCATAGGAAGGAAGATGTGATTTATGTATGAGAGATAATACACTGCATATAATGAGAAAGTTTGAAAAATAATGTATGGAGGAGGTGCACAGATAAAACTGTTAGCATCAACTCAGAAAATAACACTTTATTTCTAGCTGCTTATTACTTTCTTGAATAAGCTCTAATAAGGCTGAAATCTTCCTGATTTTGGTATTTAATTCAAGCTGAGTTACGTTGGGGGGGGAAGAAAAGCAGTTAATGTTATTTCTGAAGATGACAATAGGGGAAAAAGTACTGCTTGGGAACATGCTAAAAATAAGGTGATGTTCATGCTTGCTCACCGTTATAACACCCTCCAAAACAAAAGGACCCCAAACCCGTCGTTTGCTCCAGAGAAAAATCTTCTACCTTACCAGTACCTTGGCAGCTGAATTGCCACAGCTTTCCTTCAGGCTGGGCATCTTCTCCCTGTCTAAGGTGTTGTGGTCTCCTCCAGCCCCTCTAAGCTGAGGGTGAGCTCCTGCGGGATACGTGCAGAGTGGGTCTGTGGGCCACCCGGCTGGGCCGTGGAAGGGGTGAGGGACAACCCAGTGGGAGAGGTGGTGAAGGTCACAGCCTGTCACCAGGAGCCTGGAGCTGGGTGGAGATGGCGGTGAGAACTCCAAGGAGAGCTGGTGGGACAGAAGTGTCAGAAAGCTGAACAAGGTGAGTGGGGTGACACGGGAGGTGCCCAGCATTTCTCCAACATCAGAGACCAAAGCAAGAACTTCTGAACAAAGATAGAGGGAGGGGGATGAGGAGCCTTAGGAGCAGGCAGCGCAGCTGGTGGTGGAGGTGGGGAGAAGAGGGTTGGGCAGAACTGAGAGGATTTAGGGCAGAGGAGAAGCGGTGGTAGAGCAAAAGAAGTATAAACTCTCAAACTGAGGGTAGAGAGAGGGTCTGTGCCCACTCATCCTACTCGCCTTTGCGGAAAGGAGCGTGAGCCTTGAGTGCCTAAGATCAACGCGGAGATGAAGCACAAAAAAATCTCCCCCAAAACCTGTAAGTGCTGCTTGGATAATGGAGCGCTCTTATTTTGTGCGGTTGGTGACAGATGCTTTGTGATCCTTCACATTCATTTATTTTCTCCAGATAATCAGTGCTGGGTGTTCTAGGCTTTTAGCTTCCCAGAACAAAAATCCTGAGGAAGAAATTTGACCTATGTGGCACGTTTGTGAATTGCTGCTTTACATCTGTAGCTTTTCAGTTTGGCAGATAAATAACAGCTGCAGCCCGTGCCTCTTCAGCTGCATGCAGCACAATTGGATTGGTTTTTGGTGCTCTCTGACATTATAGTTGTTGAGAGCTCAGTAGAAGAGCTGGATTGATTGCACCAGAGCAATGTTTGCCTGGAGTGCTGTGTTTTCCTTGGTAGGATGATGTACTGGCATCGCTCTCTGCTACTTTCTCACATTGCTTAGCTAATAAGCCTCAACTCAGGCATGAAGGAAATAAATGGGATAAGTGGATGGCTGAGGTTGTGTGTCCATGTGTTTTTTGGCCTCTTGCATTAGGGCTTATTGTCTAGTGCTTGGAATAAGCAAAATGAGGGTAAATACGTAAAAAGTCAGTTTGAGAAATTGTTCCAGAATAGTTATAGCAGGGCTGGGCGGCCCTTCTCATCCTGGGAACGAGGAGCTTTGCCTAACTGAGAGCCACACAACATGCACTGTCCGTGGAAAGCTGTGGAGAGACAGGGTTTGGGGTAGGTGCCAGCTGGGTGCTCCCAGCAGTCCCACCGCTCTCCCGGGGGCTGGGGCTGCGGCTGCCGCGGGTGAGAATTGGGGTCTGGGGCTGCATTGGTGATGTCGGTCCGAGTCGCCTCTTTGGGCTTGTGTCTTACCAAGTGGGGTGCTTGGATGTCCCAGCGTTCACCCCATGCCAGCACAAGACCATGAATTATTTACTAAATGATTTGTAAATTGCCTTCTTATCCCTGAGATCCGAAATTCTGGGATGAAACATGAAGAACACACATTGCAGGCAAACGCCTCTCTGTCCTATTTTCCCCTGTGGCTGTTAAGTACCCGAGTTTAAGGAGCAGGCAAGTGTAAGCTTATGATCTGCTTGAAGTAAAATCAAAGTGTGACAAAAATGGCTAATTGAGCACGGCATTTGAACATCTGGCTGCAAATGGCAGAAATGGCACGTCGACTCAACAGAACAAGGCTCCTACGTCGGGTATCCAGCCGCCTTGCAGTTAGCTTTGAAGCCCTTGTTATGCTGTTCTCGGAGCAGGTGTCACGTCTTCGAATGGAAATATTACAGGCTTTGATGGAAGATAAGAAAGATGTTACACGTCCGCTTAGTGTAACTTTAAATAAAGGAATTGTATTTTAAATGCAAATGTCTTGCTTGGGTTTGAGTTGTAAGGAGCTGAACTGCTGTCCTAAAAATTGATTTGCCTTTTAAGTGTCATGCAAACCTAGTTTTAGGATTGCTAATATGTGTTCCTCTTGTAACCAATTATACGCGCTACAAAGAGGAATCAAAATTTTCTGGAAGTATATGTGCGGGTGGTGCTACACTGTATATACATATGAATAAGTGTCAGTCGTGGTGTCACTTGGGAATTAGGGCAGCTTGCTGGCTGCGGTGGTGGTTCACAACCTGGAAATGGCCCTGATCCTATTCAAAATGTCATTTTGGAGCTCTTTCCACATGGCATCTTGTTGTTTGCTGGTGTTAAGGATAAAAATCATGACAATTTCTGGATAAAATACAAGCTTAGGGAAACAAAACAGTCTGACTGGGCTGCCTCTTTTGGGGCTACCCTATGCATTTGCATGTTTAGCGTAGAAATGAAACCAGGGTATTTCTGCTGAAGGAACACGTGCTTGGACTGTGCTGGGCCACCCTGGCCTCAGCAGAAGGCAGCTCTCAGGACCTGCAGACTTCTGGTTCTCTCTGCTCTGATTGCTGTTTCTCACACCACAGCTTTCACTAGTTTGCAGTAATGAACAGCAAATCTTTTGCAAATATTTATATGGCTAATTCCCCCTTGCGTCCTAGGAGAGGGAGAAAATAATCAACTATCAATTGCTGATACTTCAGCTTATTGTTTCCTGCAACTGTAGCTGCTGACCCAAATGTGAACACACGGAAAACATATGCCGTGTCTTATTTGCCAGCTATGGAAAAGATGGTTTGGGAGCACAGGAAATGTCACATCTGTTTAGTCAACAAAATATTGTCATCTCCATTGCACTGAATGTCTTCCTTTGTAGTAAATGCTGCATTTCAGGTTGCCTGTTAAACTGGTCTATAAGCCATTTAAAATGTTCTTTATCTTACAGAGTCTCTCTTTTGTTTGCAGCAAGGGAAGCCGTATGTCTTTGATAGAGTGTTACCTCCTAATACAACCCAGGAACAAGTTTATAATGCCTGTGCCAAGCAGATTGTTAAAGGTAGGTGTTGTCTTTGTTTATTCCTGCTTGGGGGGAGGCCAAAAGATGTCTCCCTGTCCCCTCAAGCTGCTTAAAGACAGGATAATAAATGTTTAGCTGTCTGTATGGGAGTTTAGTAATTAGTAATTCCAAGCGTTTCCTTTTTTAAGGACTTGTCTGTGTATAAAAAACCAAACCAAAAAACAAAATTAAAAAAAAGAGCTGAAGGAATGGCAGCAGTTGTTCCTTACTTTCTCCTTGTGTATGACTGTTATTCCACACAAATACTTGCTTTTTGTGATATCTGATAAGCAAGAAAAAGCATGTTCTTCATGCAGCATGAGACTGTTCAGTACGGGATGAGCGTGGAATAGCTGTGTCTTTGAATGGAAGGATGGACCATTAAAGGAAAACGTAAAAGGCACTGGTTTTGTAGCTGCTTTGCATGCAGATAGCTTGCATTTAAAAATTGAAATGAGAACACAAGTGCCTATTGGATAGCACCCTATTTGTTTAAAACAAAACCTTCATAAACTGTTGCAATTTCTAGATTTTAATTTGCGAATCAAACTTTTTGGGTGCATTTTCATTGCCTGCCATACTTCCCCCACCTCCCAAATCACCCTCAGACATCCCACTTGGTTCTGATGCCGGATAGTCCATCCATGATGGTATTAAAACTGCTACAGCATCTTAGGGGTTATGTGTAGTACCTGGTCTAGTTGTTCTCTGGCCTTGTGTGGTGTCCCTGTGCCCCCCAAGATTTGGTCCTCAGTTCTTGTTTTGAAAACAAAGCATGCAGGCAGTGGGAATGGTGTCCGAGCTGGTCAGAGTTGTGCTTGTATAGCAATGCAAGGCTGCATGTTGAAGGCTGTGGGATTTACGTGGCATGAGAGATTTGGGGTTGCTCAGAGGTGCAGGAGCAACCGAAGCAGCGTTGAAGGACTCAGTAGCGTTTCAGGCGTGGAGCTGGATCTGCTGAGAGCTTGTGTGTCTGCCGGTGGGGAGAGGTCCCTGGGGTGGGCAGCCCTGCTGCAAACCCCAGGGTTCTGTTCTGGAAGAGATTGGTTGGCTCACTCAAACAGCCTCGAGCAAACCAACATGCGTGTAGTCTAGATGATTGGGGGTGAGGACCAGCAGCTAAATTATTTGATGTTGGAGAGAGGAAATGAGTCATAACACTTCGGTTGCCTCTTCTCAGAGGGGAGCCTAATTACAGCAATTCAAGACGGGTAAGCCTTTGATAAAAACTGGTGGGATTGGAGTTGTAGGGCTTAGAAATCGTTTGTTCGGGTTGCTGACACACCACTCAACTTTTGGAAGTTTGGGGAACTGTTTCAATACTACAGCGTGTGCTAACAGAAGCAGCACATCACTGTTTGTAGACTTGCGGAGGGTATTTATATCCCCTGTGGAAGTTGGTTTCCTCTGAAAATGGTGAGAGAAATAAAATCCTGTTCGAGAGCAATTTGGAAGACCTAAATCAGTGACTAAGTCGTCTTCATTAACCAAATAGAAAGGCGAATACTTTCCAAAGTCCTATTTGAAAATAGAGCTCAAACATACTTTTACATGTGTGTTAAGTTGGACCTTCTAGATACCTTGAAAGGCAAGTTTGATGGGGGGGGGGGGGGGGGGGGGGGGGGGGGTGGAAGAAAGGAAGAGAGAAAGAGAAATGGGGGAAAAAAGAGGAGAGAAAGTGAGAAAGAGAACAATGGGCAGGGAGAGAAGGAGAGTGTAAGACAGGGAGAGGGTCTGGGAAGGAGCGAGGGAGGGAGAGCACAGCGTTACTGGAGTGATGTTCTTGAGCTCTGGGCTTACATTTCCATATGTTTAATTTCCAGTCTAAAGCCTAATAAAGTGAAGAATGTGAAACGGACTGGGCTGTTTCTGATAGACTGGAACAATGTAATTTACTACATGGAAATACGAGCTGAGTGCATTACAACTTGGAGCACTATTTAAATCTTTGAGACTTTTTTAGATAGCTTTTCAAGGTTACCATTTGTTATCAGATTTCATTATACTCCCATGAAATGGCTGATGGTTTCATTGTGATTAATGTTATTACAGAAAATGCCAGCTGGCCTAACAGTCTCTAAAACAATGGTTATAATAACCATAAGAATGATCTAAATGAGTTTTTTTTTTCACTAAAGAAGAAATGGGATTAGGTTTAAGTAAATAGCTGAATGACTGAGTCAAAGGATTTCACATTCCATACGTGAGAAACATGAGAAACAAGGAGTTTCTTAGAGGAGGAGGAGGAGCAGCAATCCGCGTGTTATAGTGATTTGCATTGGGGTGGGTTCTGGGATGTTCTTTGTTCAAGGTACTCCCAAGGGCAGAAGTACCAGTAGTGGAAGTGTGTGGGGAATCATCACTGGTGCGTATGACCACAGTTTAGGAACTTGTGTTTGCATTTTTTTTAACCAAACAAGGAATATCACTAAATCTGAAAGGCTACAACAGTGTGTGGTTGCCACGACTTTTGCTTTGTTTCCCATTGCTCTCTCTTGCCAGAAAACAGCTTTATCTTCTCAATCTACGCAGATGGATGTCTGTATCTGGATTTTGCGTCTTTCCTACAATTACGTTGAGGGGAGAATATATAATGGCCCAAGCTATTGCTGAGCACTGGAGCTGTGAGCACGTTAGTGCACATGTGAACATCTGTGCATTTGTGTGTCCTGTGAGGAGGAGAAAATGGCTTTAATGATTTTGGGGTGGTGGGGTGGCTCTCACTGGGTACCTTATTGACTTTCTGTTCTGTTTACAAATACACGCCTCAGATGCTAAATGGCAGAACTAGAAAGTTAGGGATGGAAAAGTTAAGTATTGGGCTAAACTTGGTTGTAGAAATGAGGCTGAAAGGACTTCTGTAAAGCCATTTGGTCTTTCTTCTTGCCATGAAGACTCCTATACTTGTCAGTGGTCCATTTGAAAGGTCTCCAGTCCACAGCCACCCTTGGTGACTTGTTGCAGAGCTCTGCTGGGCACTCCAGTGCTGCTGGAAAGACTTTCTCGGTCCCTAACCTGAGTTATTCTGTGTTGTAGCCCCAACACAAGGGCTGCCGTTTTAGAATTGTGGAATAGTTTGGGTTGGAAGGGACCTCTAAAGGCCATCTAGTCCAAACCCCCTGCCGTGGGCAGGGGCATCTTCAACTAGATCAGGTTGCTCAGAGCCCCGTCCAACCTGACCTGGAATGGTTCCAGGGATGGGGCAT